AAAACTTGTCCGCCATATGGTGAGGTTATGGCAGGAAAAAGTGTAAAAGGAGATTCTTGCGAAAAATCCTGTAAGCATTGCAAGAAAAAAGTTATTTTTTCATCGGATTGTGAAGGGTGTGGCTCCTCTTACCACCCGAGCTGTGCGGCACAGGCAAAAGTTATAGATAAAGAAAATAAAGTGGTCTGCTGTAAGCCGCGTGAAAAAAGTGAGGTTAGGAACCTGAAAACTGGGGAAAATTCCGAGATAATGGACGAAAGGAAATTGAAAATCATCGTCCGTGATCTGCTTTCAGAGTTCTTCAATCCAATCAAGAAGAAAATGGAGGATGATATGGAAAATCTAAAGAAATCCGTGCAGCACATGTCAGACTCCTTCGATGAACAAAAGATTGTCGCGGAGGAAGCAATAACAGAATTAAAACGGTTAAGGAAGGAAAATAATGATCTCAAGAAGAGAGTGAATGAACTCGAAGGAAGGTTCAATGATCAGGATCAAAAAGATAGACAAAACAACCTGCTGTTGGTAGGTATTCCCAAGCAAACAGAGAAAAATACAAAAATCATCATTGGGAAGGTATTTAGAAGAATGCAGTTGGCTATCAAAGATGAAAATATCACAGACAGCTTCAGATTAAGTAAAAAAGATGATGCTCCCATTTTAGTCAAATTCAAAAGCAAAGAATTTAGAACTCAAGCAATAAGAAGAATTAGGGAGATGAAAGGGTTGAATTCAAGGTCATGTGAGTTGGAAGGAGAGGATAGAAAAATTTACTTTAACGAAGACCTAACAGATACTAACCAGAAACTTTTTAAGAAAGCCCGTGAGTTTAAAATGGCCAATGGCCTTTCATCTGCATACTGCCAAGATGGACGAATTTATATTAGGAATGCAATTGGGTCTCAATCAGTAAGAATCAAGAGTGAGGAGGATCTAAAATTGTGAATTGTTTTGTTAGTCCTGATGAGTTTGGTGATAAGGACCTGCCAGTCCCTTTCGCAGGTCAGAATGAATTATTAGATCTTCTTGATCAATACAAGGCATGTGAAGCAACAATATGTGATAATTTATCCAAAGTTACTTATTTTGACAACATAGAAAAAGATATTAACATCATACATGTAAATGTTAGGAGTATCTATAAAAATTTTGATAATCTCTTGGTGTTCCTGGAATCTACAGGTAAAGATTTTGATGTGATTGTTTTGTCAGAGACACATACAGTTCATAATGTTGATGACTTCAAAATACCAGGTTATTCTGCATTCTGGAACAACAGTGAACTTAACAAATTTGATGGTTGTATGGTATATGTAAAAGACGCTCTGTTTCAGGAGTATAGTGTTGTTCAATCAAATAGAGTGAATTGTATCAGAGTGACACTGAATAAGAATAATGTATCTCTTGATATTTTGGCAACATATAGGTCACCTGCAACTAATGCTGATGAGTTTGTTGAGAATATTGGACCATAAAAAAGCATATGTGTTTGTGGGTGATATAAATATCAATCTGTTAGAAAACTCTACTACAGCAAATAACTATCAAACATTATTATATAGCTATGGCTTCTATAATACAATTGATAAACCAACAAGAAGGCAAGGTGATACACAGTCTTGCATAGACCATTTCTTTATTAAATATAGGAACGAATTGTGCAACAGCATTCATTCTGTGATATTAGATAGGGATTTCACAGACCACTATCCCATTCTGCTAAATATAAGCCTAAATAAAAGCTCAGCAAATGAAAATGTTAGCAGAGTTTTAAAAAAAATTGATCATGTGAAATTAACACACGCTCTGTCTGAAGCCGAATGGGATGATGTTCTTGAGGTAAATGATGTAGAATTATGTACAAATCTGTTCATTAGTAAATTACAAGGATATGTTAATAACTGCTAGCCTATCTACAATCTGTAATAAGAAAAGAAGATTGAAACCCTGGATCACAAGTGGCCTCTTGTTATCAATCAGGAATAGGGATAAACTGAAGAAAACTTGCACCCTCAATCCAACTGACGCTTATGCTAAAAACAATTACAAACGATATAGGAACAATCTTTCAAATTTAATCAAGAAGTCTAAACATAATTACTACAAAACTAAAGTAGAGCAAAATCTACAAGATCCAAAAAAAACTTGGAATATAATAAAAGAGGCCACAAATGATCAAGGGAATAAACCAGAGATAAAAGCTATCATTGACGAAAATGGTGTGGTATTGAAAGATGGGGTGTCCATTGCGAATAAATTCAATGAATTTTTCAGCAGTATTGGAAAAAGACTTGCAGAAGATATTGAGCCTCGAAATGCAAATAGAGTAAGAGCAGAAAACCGCATTCCAGAATCATTCTTTTTCACACCTATTTCTGAAAATGAAATCATAAGTCAAATAGGCGCTTTGAAGTCAGGTGCTGCATGTGGAGATGACGGTATTACACCAGAAATTCTCAAGTTTAACCACAAGTACTTACTTGGGCCTCTAAAACATATAATAAACAATGTTTTCAGTAGTGGAGTTTATCCAGCAATTCTGAAAAAAGCAATTATCATACCAATATATAAACAAGGGGACAAAAAACTTACTACAAATTATAGACCAATCGCATTGACAAGTATAGTCAGCAAACTATTAGAAAAATGTATTAAAATCAAATTAACTGCTTTTCTCGAAAAATACAAAGTACTATCAAGTTTCCAGTTTGCTTTTAGAGAGGGTACCAGTACAGAGGATGCATTGTGCCGAGTGACCGAGCAAATTTCACGGAGCTTAGACGGCGGAAAAAAAACTATTGGCATTTTCCTGGACTTGGCCAAAGCGTTTGACACTGTGGCACACCATATCATACTAGAAAGATTGCATAATATAGGAATCCGTGGAATTGCCAATGAACTTTTCAGATCTTACTTGAGCGGTAGAACCCATCAAGTAAAAATACAAGATGTAATAGGTACTCCTCTAGATATGACATGTGGTGTGCCACAGGGTACGGTGTTGGGGCCCTTGCTGTTCAATATTTATATTAACGATATTACTTCTGTCCTAGTTGAAAGTCAAGTATTTTGCTTTGCTGACGATACTGTAATTATAGTAACCGACCACACCTGGGAATCAGCGGTAAAAAAGGCGGAAGAGGCCATCTCTGAAATAAAAAACTGGCTAGACTGCAGTTTACTAACATTGAATGTGGAAAAAACCAAGTTTTTAGCGTTTGGTTTGACCCGAAGAACCTTGCCAAATGTGGAATTTCTAAAAATTCATGATTATGACTGTAACTTTGAGACTAATTCTTGTAAATGTAATTCTAAGATAGAGAGAAAAGACAGTGTGAAATATTTAGGAATTTTACTTGATGAAAACTTAAACTGGAAATTTCATATTAACATGGTTACCAGCAAAGTCAGAAAACTGATCTACAAATTTTATGAGCTGAGACATATTTTGAATGTAAATACTCTGAAGATGGTCTATTCTGCACTAGTTGAGTCAATTATCAACTATGGGTTGGTAGTTTGGGGTAATGCTTGTAAGAGTACCATGTCATCTCTTCATGTAGCACAAAAATATGTTCTGAAAATTATGTTACACAAGTCTAGGCTGTTCCCATCCGAGTTGTTATTTAAAGAAAGCAAATTGCTAAACATTGATCAGCTATATATTAAATCTACTATTAGATTCATGATCATGAAAAAATATTACAGAAGTGTACTACAACACAAACTGAACACAAGAGCAGCAGTTAGACAGAATATCTTCGTTCCGCATGTGACGCGTTCAGCGACACAAGCGCACATTGCTTATATAGGGCCAAAAGTTTATAACATTTTACCACTGCACCTTAGAAATAAGCCCTACAAACAAGTTAAACACCATGTCAATAGATGGATAGTAGAAAGTGAGGTGACTGTAAATGATTTATAAATCATCTAATCTTGCACATCACATGTCACATGCATCACAGTTATGTTATTAGGTTATTATTCATTATTGTCTTCTTATCACTTATTAATTCCAAATTGCAGGGAACTCAGTATATCTATATATGACTGATTCTTAAGTTTAAGCTACATGGGCTGCACACACAGATTTTTTTAAAATCCATTGTGCATCCAACCAATGAATATATGTAATTATGTATTATTGTTCAATTTATAATTTGTTGTTTCCTACTAATTTTTCTAAATATCCAATTTCAACAAAATATCAAAGTTTGTAGATTGAAATATTAGTGAAAGTTATTGTTATAAAAAAAAAAAAAAAAAAAAAAAAAAAAAAATCTGACAGGTTATAAATGTAGTAGTTTCATTACATTTTATGAACTGAAATATTTCACATAGAGCTCGATCCTAAACGAAAATATCATCGAATCAATGAATCACTATCGGCCATATTTCCTCATAAACTGCTATCGGCCAAAACCATGCGTGTTTTTCATTCCATCGAAGAAAGTGCGCACTGATAGATGCGGTTTTTTGTCGTGACGTCACCAATTGTTCTGTTGGAATTTATGCTGGAAGGATTGAACAATGGTTTATACAACACATTGATGGAAACACGGATTTTGTTGTGTGTCAGTCATCATGTATCTTGAGAATCAGAAGAGGCTAATTCGATTTCATTGATTAACACTTACTCTTTCTTCTGAAATCTCTCAAGAATCTCAAAAATCCTCAATATTTATTGTTCTCTATCAAATCAAAACAAAAAACAACACTAAAATGTGTCAACTGTCATGTCAATCTCCTCCAAACTGCTGTATTCTCGAAAAGCGATTTAAAAGTGCGCATTTTATTACAACAGTTTGATGGATGTCCATCAACATTCCAGCGGAATTTTGCAACAGTTTGATGGTTTCTTCGATTCATGCGCATGATAAAATGTTGGAATGAAAAACGCACCCGAACCTTATAAGTGTCGTCCGTTTTTGACAATTGTAACCATGGCCAGCCTTGATGAAGAACACTAGTCATTTTTCCTCGAACCTAACCAGACAAACCAGGTTAACTTTATTATGACGTATCTCATCTCAGTCTGATTAGAATGAAGCCGACACCCATAGGCTTCTTCCTGGTCCGAGACATTCGTGTTACAAACAAATTGACAGTATTGACACTATTGACACTGTAACGACACTTCGACACTACTGAGTACTGACAGTATTGACATATCATGTGGACTGTGGACTGAAGATAAATAAAATTTTAGATTCTGTAAAAAATTTTCAAATTCTTGCTGAAAAAGTATCCACTAATTCTTTCATATAATAACTTAACTTATGATTTACATAACATTCTTGAGATAGAAATATTCAAGGTGAGCTTGAGAATCATATAATATAATAACCCAGTTAATTCTTCATAAGCTATTGCAGATACAAAATGCCTGTGCCTGGTGGTATGTATCAACAGCAAGGGCAAGGGCCTAGCTGTGTAGATAGAATGAAAATGGGATTTTTCCTTGGTTTTTGTGTTGGGATGGCGAGTGGAGCACTATTTGGAGGATTCTCAGCACTCAGGTTAGATTAGATAACACACTATTCTCAATTTAATAACCATGAAGCTTCAGAGGACAAGTTATTAAATGAAAAACATTAGCCGACAATAGTAGGCAGACCCACAAAAATCAGATGGAGCAGCTAATCATTCTTGCCTGTTTGACCCAAAGGGTTTGAAATGTCAAGAAATCTTTGTCACATGATTTGAAGATTTTTGAATGAAAATATTGGTTAAGTAGGTTCTCTAAAATGGACAAAAATCACAAGAAAAAATTAAATAAAAATTCATTACTTATATGGTAAGTATTTTGTGTTGTATTTGTAATACAGTGATTTATTTCAAAACTACCTAAGAATGGATAGGAGATGTTTCAGATTTTTATCTAACCATATATTATGCAAATGTATACCTACAGAAATGAGGTGAGACCATGATCATAACAAAGTCTAGTCAACCAAGCATAAATTTGGGATTGGAACAAGACAAAAATATTCCTATAATTGTCCTAAATGGTCCTCAGTCCAATTACTGGGACAGGCATTTTTGAAGTATTGATAATATTAATGATAGTATTTTTGTTAATATTCAAGATATAACATAATAATCAATGAAGAAAACATGAAAACAATCATCCTGACCTTATTGCTTGATCCAACATGACAAATGTTTAGAACAAGTTATAAATTTCAGCTGCTGTTTGAATGACATCACAGATCTGTAGTTTGATTGATTGAAATTGTTGGACCATGAGATACAGCCTTAACACACAGGTGGCATTGTCACATCACTGAATGATGATTTTGGTTGTTGCTCCTCAGATAGATGGCTGATAGCCAATAAAATAATAGCACAACACAAATTGTGTTTTGCTTTATTTCAATTAGTGATTTCCCCCTCTAAGATTTGAAAATCTTCTAACTTTGCAATGCTGTACTGATGTTGTGCAATAAAAATATCAAAGCTATTCCATCTGAATTTTGAGAGTTTGTCTACTAATTTGTTTTACAGTATGTCTGAAAAAGTTGGCACTGAATGTTGTGTTCAAATTGATAATAATGTCCAATGTCAAAAATAAAGGTACTTTTGAGTGAAATTATTTTTTTTGACATTGGTAACTCATAGATTGCTGAAAAAATAGATATCTAATATACTCATATATGGCTGAAAAAAAAATATTTTGGTTTTCAATTTCAGGTTTGCAAAACTTTTTATAAAGAATCACTTTTTTCATAAAATTGACAGTAAAAAAGTTTTCCATGTGTCCATGTTACCAACTTTTTCAGACCTGCTGTATATCATTATATGATGTCTCCTTGCTAAACTTCTACATTTGTATATATACAAGGTGTTTCAAAATCAAGATTTCAGGGGCTTATTTTCAGATGTTTCATTAATAATCTAACAGCCTTGAAGTTTCATGACTTTGAATTTTTAGCTCTCAGTTATTGAGATATTTAGATCACATTTGAATGATAGGGTATATTTTAAGGTTTACATCATATAGTATGCCAAAATTGCCAAATGATTGTAAGAATCTACAGGGAAGTATTTTCTCAGGGGTCAAGCCCTCTTTTGCTTCATACATTTTTTGTGAATTGTGTAATATTTTAAACTTTTTTTCTTATAATTTTCACGCATTTGAGATGGTTATGGAGAAATGAATTACAATCATTTTTTGTAATTCATTGGATTTGAGGAAAGATGTTATTAAAATGTTTAATGCAAAAAAGTTCATGTAGTGAAAAATGATGGTTATGGAGAAATGAATTACAATAATTTTTTGTAATTCATTGGATTTGAGGAGAGATTTTATTAAAATGTTCAATACAAAAAAGTTCATGTAGTGAAAAGAGACTTGAACAAAATATCTCCCTATGGATTTTGGAATATCCGGAAAACTGAAAGAGTTATAAAGAAATGAAACAAATCTTGAAACTTCAATGCTCTGTAGATTGGTAATGAACTCGGTAATGAAGCATAATGTGGACACATGTTTGTAGAAAAAAAATAAGCCACTAAATCTTGATACTACTGAATTTTGAAACACCCTGTATATAAATGGTCATGTCAATTCGGAACTTTCAGGATAAATTGCCCTGAAATTCAGTATCAATAAATAATATTGTAATTAGCAATGGAAAAACTGCAGGGTAGGATTCAACAAAAATGCTGTTCCAAATACATCATGAAATGTGATACTTCAACTTGAAATCAAACAATATAGGAATCAGTGAATCACCAGTGGAATAATAATTTCCAAATAAATTGTAGTCAGTCTTAAATGTTTCTTCAGCATAACCTAAATCAATTATAGGTGATGGAAAATACTATGTATATTCCACTGATAATCACACTGGCATACCCTATTGACCATATGAGATCACCATGTAGATTCAGATTTTTAGAAGAAAAAAAACAACTTCAGTACTAGTTAATAGCTATTGCTGATTGCTGTCTAGACAAAAAAGTATTTCATTAAAAACTACCTATATTCTCGCTTTAGTATAGTATATCCAATAAAAATTGCAGATTATCCTGACACCAGACTCTGCAATTGTTTTTGGATAAACTTAATAGATCTTTGTACTGCTGAGGGATCATAATATGGTATTCAATTATATTCTAATGCCTGTTATTCTATGACGGGTTAATAGCAAGCAATCTGTGCTTGTTGACTGAAAATTCTTTTATAAGTTTATTCTTTTAATATCTCATCTGTTACCTGATTCTCATTTTTTTATTAGTGACATGATTGTTTGCATTGATGACTCCCCTTCCTTTTGAAATAATCTAATTTTTTTCACATAGTGAGGATGCAAAGGTTGAAATAAATTCATTTTAAATCTAAGGGTTTGTTTTTGGAGGAACGCTTGGCCACTTTGTTTTTTATTTTTGGCAGCAGTTTTTCTGATGGTTAATTGATGTACACAGGGTTGCCAAAAATAAAGTTACAACCATCTACTTTTGAATTGAAATTTTTTTATTCCATTTTTGAAATCTGCACCGAATTCTTAATGTACCGATTTATGGAAGAAAAGAAACCAAATGAAATGTTGAAACTGTGGACCATCAATTTCCTGACAATAGGCAAGTCAAAATCAAAATTTATCATGTGACTAAAGGCTGATGTTCAAAAATAAAAAAACACTATGGAATGTTTTGCTAGATTGACAAATAAGCATTAAAAACCAAGTTGATAATATCTAGTTGTTAAACGTCGAGTTGTGATTCCTTGTTTAATTATATTAAAAAGAATTCATATATTCATCAGATAGCAAATGTGAATTCTCAATGTATTTCTTTATATGTATTAATTTTATTTTCTTGTTCATAATGTATCTGAGAATACTCCTTTTCAAGCTTTCAATCATGAACTTCATGATGATTGCTGAGTTCGCCATACTTAAAATTCTTTCTTTGAACTCACTACACCCTGTATACATGAATTTACCATCAGAAAAATCGCGGCCAAATATTATTATCAATCGATTTTCCAAAAAACAAACCCCTTCATTTTAAATGAATTTGTACCAACCCACGCAACCTCACTATATATTTGATGATTCACAATGAATATTATTATTAATGTACTACTACTACCTTGATATTTTCAGGGGAGGTTTGAGAGGGAGAGAATTGGTGAATACAGTGGGTAAAGTGATGTTGCAAGGTGGAGGATCATTTGGAACGTTTTTAGCAATCGGATCAGGATTGAGGTGTTGAAACGCTGCCATTGAATTGTCGAGACTGATCAAGAATGTCATTGTATCCCTTGATAGTTGTATAGTGTAAACTGTTATGAATGTGAATCTTTAATTATATGAGTACTTATTTCAATTCTGTCTCTGAATATTTATATTCAAAAGTTCCTAGAGTTGAGAAGTTGTACTAGGTTCCATTAGAATACTAACATTTGTTTTCAAAGAAAAATACTAGAGAAACTTGAACTTTCAAAAAAGGATAATTACTATAAGCCAAACTATCCAATTCTGAGGAATCTCCTGGAATAGGTTGATTTGAATTTTTTATTTGCCACATTTATAGAGAAAAATTGTATATAAATGGTGATCCACATTTGAATTAAGACGTCCGCGATATTTTTTTCAAACGGAAAACCCTATGTATTATTGAATTTTTGAAATTAACAAAGAAAGCTGAATTGAAAGGGTTTGTATACAGTGCGTCCGTTAAATAAAACGGGATGGATAGGAACTTGAAGGCAAATAGAAGCAAGTATGGAACATTTGTTGAGAACAATTACCAATTTCTCAAATTTAATTCTATTTGGTTTACGTATTGCATATGTGAAAATATAAATTCACCGAATATCCTGATTTTTCCCTTGGCAACACTGTTTTTCATAAAGTTTATGTACTAAGGTGAGAAAAAAATCAAGATATAATCTACAAAATTGGTTCACACATACCTTTATTAATATAATTGCATTCAAAATTCGAATAAATCAAGTAGTTTTTATCACATATATTTTTTAAACAACTAACATCTATTTTTTCGTGTGTATTTGCTTGCTGTTTCCTTTCACCCCATTTTATTTTATATTTCTTATTTTTCAAATTTTGAGCTGTCCACAAATGTAATTATTCACTGAACTTGTTTCCATTCACCTCTCAGATGGTTCACAAGTGAATAACTATAACAATCACTGTTTCTATTCCCCCCGCCTGGAGGGGGAATAGAAAGTTACCACATTTCAATTTAAAATAATAATAATTTTTTTTCGAAATTATTACATGCCCTCTCTTCTAATAACCGTGAAAAGTCGACAACTGTTTCGAAATACTTTGATTCTTGTTTTCAATTTGCCAAGTATATGAGGGAAAATTAAATATACAGGGTGAGCATTTGAGTTATGACGTCCGCCACTATTTTTTGGAACGAAACACCTTATATATTTTTGTATTTTTGAAATCTCCATGAGAAGCTAAATTCAAAATTATATCAAACAAAGGGGTTTGCATACAGTGCGTCCGTTAAAATCAGTGCTCTCGTAAAATGGGGTTGCCATTGAAAAAAAATACCGGTGACGTATAATTTCTTCTACGCGGAATTCTGTATTTATTATTTGAATTTGAAAGAATGTTCGCATAAAAATAAAATTCGACGGCTTAGAGCGATTTCCAAAAATTATTCTTTTAATTTTTATCAAACTCATCTACTACTTCATGAAAGCACTAAATTCAATATAGACGCACTGTATACAAACCATTTTTTTAAAATCAGCTTTCCATGAAGATTCCAAGAATTGGATAATATACCGGGTGTCCCATAATTAACGAAAATACTTCAGTAGCAGATTTAACGATCAAAAATAGGAATAAAGTTCATATAAATATAGATCGAATAATGTTTCATTAGCGAGCTACAGCCCCCTAAAGGTGGTACCCTGAAGGTGGTTTTTATTTTATATCCGAAACTTTTGATAGCGGAATTAATTAATTTCTCGAGTCGGCCAATCTTGTTATGTTTAATAATATGCAATAATGATAATTTCAAAATTTCATCCAGAAATTGGTCAAACTGTGAGGGGAGGGGGATAAAATCACCCTAATTTTTTCGGGTGCGGTTTCTCCGCAGTTTCAGCAAGAAATTGTAAAACCTCGAAGATTTTGCATGAAAAGGTTCCTCTTTTTTAACTTCGATAGGAAGCATCGTTCTCGAGTGAAATCGATTCAAAAAATACTTCACGTCATGAAAATTCATAATGAAATTACCAAATTTAAAAATTTGAGCATAGGCCATTAAACACTGCCACTATGTCTGTGGAAAAATAGTCAAAACAGGTGACAAATTCATAAAATAAGTGACAGGGTTTGTAGATTTATTCAATTTATAAACAATACTAAATTTACCTGAGCGTTATTTTTTTCACTCAAGTAATTGATGAAAGTGACTTCCATTTTATTGAACGCATAGTCGAGCCTGACGATTTATTGCTTGGGGAAGCGCGCTGAATTCTTGGAATTGTTTTGATCTAATTTCACTTTCAGCCTCATTTATTCGCATGACCACTTCATTGGCGCACACCTTTTGACACTCATTTCATGAATCTGTCACATGTCTTGATATTATTTTTTCCTGAACATACCGGTGGTGTTTCATGGCCAACGCTCAAAATTTTAATTTTTGTAATTTCATTGAATTTTTATGACATGTGAAGTAATTTTCGAATGAATTTTACTAGAAATTAAACAAGTGAGGTACGTTGTTTTTTAAAGGTATCAGTTTAGTATGGATGTAGTTTTTATTAGGTATTAGATTAGTACAGAGATCAGATAATTTATACGACGCTATAAAAGCAGATGATATTTTATCATTGCTCATATTATTATGTAAGATGGAAGTAGAGGCCATGGCATCATATCATGAGCATATTTTTATATTGAAACTATCATTGGGCACCAAAGATGTGTATACGATGCTATGGAAGTTCAGATAACTGGAGATTTTTCCCACAAACTACGTACTTAGCCCACTCGACTGTCTTGGTTTTTCCACACAAACTACGTACCTAGCCCACTCGACTGACAATAGAAACTAAAAAAACAAAAACAAAAAAAAGTTAAAACAATGCCAACATATTTCTTCTTTGTGGGAAATCAAGACAGTCGAGTGAGCTAGGTACGTAGTTTATGGGCAAAAAATTAAGACAGTCGAGTGAGCTAGGTACCTAGTTTATTGGCGAAAAATAAAGACAGTCGAGTGAGCTAGGTACGTAGATGGGAAAAAATCAAGACAGTCGTCGAGTGGGCTTTTTTTACTTTGTTTTGTTTTTTTGTTCTGTTTTCTATTGGCAAGTGATTATCTAGGAATTTGTAAATTTTTTAGTTTTTTCTCCCGAACTATTGAATTCAGAGGAAAATTTTATACGGATTTTTTGTAGATTCTATCAAGAGGAATAATTTTGGTTCTATAACATTTTCAGATATTTTCAGTTGTTTTCGAGATATTAGGAATTATCTGAGAATAAAATTTTCAACACTTTTGTTCCATCTTCCAATCAACAAAAGGAAAAAATATTTCATGGTTCAGTGGAAGTCGATGAGCTTCATCAATCGATAATCTTTGTTTTTCAATATATCTTCATGGTACCCTATGGGTCGTTCAAATTTTTTTGCATATTTTTCACATTATTTCCTGTACTATTGGGTTTACAGAAAAAATTATGGGTGATAGTTTGTAGGAAATGTTCCAGTAGATAACTTTGCACTTCTGATAATTTTCGATTTTTCGACCTTTTTATAGAAACTGGTTTCTCATATTTGATCGTTGAATCTGCTGGTGAAGTATCACACGCTAATTATGGGGCACCCTGTATCTAGAACGTTTCATTTGACGGACGTCATAACTCGAAAGTGGATTACCCAGTATATACAATTTTTTCCTTATAAATATGGCAAATTTTAAATAAAAATCGACCCTGGAGATTCTTCAGGAATTGATACTTTGGCTAAAAATGAATTTATCCACTACTTTACGAAAGCACATAATTTAACGGAAGCATGAATGGTTTGCGAAATTTTAAAGTTAAGCTGAATATATCGTTGCAACAAACATAAAGTTTGTGATTCCTTAAAAAAGTTAAAATCCAAGTTGATTGCACAAAATATTCTTGAATTCAAACAAATGTATTCTCAACTGATGTTGTTATGATTAACTCATGAAAGTGTTTAGGGTGAATATGAAATAAATTACAAATTGGGAAATTGTTAACGAAAATAATGGAAAAACCAAAAACTGTCTTAGGAGGCCATGCTTTGGTATTTAGGCATAACTTTCAATTGTTAACAACTTTTCTCTATAACATTTGACTGAAATTTCCGAAATAAGGGTACTCTACTCTTGAGCAATTTTAAAATTTTTCTAAAGTTTGATTCCTTAAAAAAGTTGAAATCCAAGTTGATTGCACTAATATTCCTTAATTTGAACAAATGTATTCTCAACTGATGTTATGATTAACTCATGAAAGTGTTTAGGGTGGATATGAAATAAATTACAAATTGGGAAATTGTACGAAAATAATGGGAAAACTAAAAACTGTCTTAGGAGGCCATGCTTTGGTATTTGGGCATAACTTTCAATTGTTAACAACTTTTCTCTATAACATTTGACTGAAATTTCCGAAATAAGGGTACTTTACTCTTGAGCAATTTTACAATTTTTCGACCTACTCTGTACGCTGTTTGAGTTGCAACAATTTTAAGTGCACCTAAAGTGATTACCGAACATGCACCAACTTTCGGCACTATCTGTATTTTGGTTGTGCAATTCATTGAAAAGATTCCCATATGTTGCACACTCAAATGACCACACTGTATATCATGAGAGCAAAGGTTCATTCCTCCGCTACGCGTCGTGAATCAAACTTCACACGCGGGATGAAATATATACCTTTCCTCCCTTGATATATATAAAAAAATATTATTCAGTACTATACCAAAGCGTTGTAATAGTATCTAAAGCTGTTATTGAATAATATATGATATTGAAAGATACACTGACCTATAAACAACATATGGAAGGACAATGCTAGTTCTTATAGCGTATTCCACTCGTTGCACTAGGTCGAACTTTTTCGGCACTGAGTGCGTTTTGCGTGGTCCACTGAGAATTTCAAGAGCGAACTTTTGTCGAGGAATGATTTCCACTGGCTTTCAAACTTGCCGATGTCGATGCCCGCTCAGAGTTCGAGTTTTCAGAACTGTGCTTGTACGACGGTGCGATACACATAACCTCAAATATTCGAGTAACCAGTGGGAAAATGTTTGGAATTTGAATAATTATGACTCATTGAAGTTGATCACTATTATTACAAAATC